ATTCTGTGACCGTTTTGAAAGAAATTTCAAACTTCAGTGACCGTTTCTGAAACTTTGAAATTTCAGTGACTGTTTTGAAATTTTCAGGTAATTTCAGTGACCATTTGTGAAATTAACCCTTTGATTTTAGTAATTATCAATTTCAAATTCTTTATTTAATTATATATAAAAAAATTTAAACAAAAGGAAATTATTAAAATTAAATAAAGAATATAAATATTATTTAAGATTTTTTTTACAATGAATTTTTAATTAAAAAATTAAAAGGAAAAAAAAATTTGTTAATTCGTTAAAAAAGAATATTTCATTTTAGTAATTATCAATTTCAAATTCTTTATTTAATTATACATATACAAAATTTAAACAAAAGGAAATTATTAAAATTAAATAAAAAATATAAATATTATTTAATTAAATTAACCAATAAAATTAACTATAAAACAAAATTAAATAAGGAAAAAAATATTACGGCCGATTGTTAAGAGTCAGGCGACTATTAACAGTCGTCAACGATATTTTTGACTTTTTGTTTGTAAATGTTATGTTTTAACTTTTTCTCTCTCTCTCTCTTTTTTTTTAATTGTATTAATGGGTTAAAGGTGGAAATATGGTCCAGGAGCCATTTCCCACTGTTTCCTCCTAATATATAAAGTGTATTTGAAGTGTTTAAATCCGCTTAGAAAAACATGCACTGGTCTTTTAAGCTGAGCCAGGGTCAAGGAGGAGGCACTCAAGACATGTGGCTGGTAAAATTCCAGCGGATGTATCATGCGCAAGAATAAGCCACGGCATTTTTGTTGCATGATTTGGATAAGAAAAGTTCTCTCTCTCCATCACTCACCACCATTGTTGTGTACCTTCACCTACTCGATATTCTCAACATGCCTACTGCGAATTGCGATTGACATCTAATTGGGTTTGATTGATGATCAAGAAAAGACATTCTTATTATCAATCGAACTTCCAATTTGCTTCAATGTGTTTTCGGCTTTCCAAGCTCGTTTTGCACCCTTCCCACCCTTCATTATTATCTCCAACTTTTTCTTATTACAAATCAACCTCTTTGCTCTCTTTTTCTTCGCATTCGAGCTTCAAATGTCATCGCCAATCTGTAATTGTAAACCCATTTTATCGTTTTTGTTCTAATAATTCCAAGAGCGGGATTGGCCCGGACGATCCTGCCGATGATTATGCTAATGAAACGAGTGCAGGAGGAGTTGCTGCCGTTATAAAAGAATTGATCCCACAAGGCAACACGCCGATTATATCTGCTTGCTTTGTTGGTCTCTTCACTGGTATCAGTGTGGTGCTCTTCAATTACGCGGTGCGACCTTCTTTTAATTTCTTCACAATTTGGTTTTTATTAACCTGTGAATGATAAATTAAGAGAGGAGATTGTTAGAATTTATGAAAATTTTAATTTAGTTTTACATTTTATATTAGAATAACCTTCATTGTATCAATTTGTTGTCAACACAATATCGCCAAACCAAGTGTGGATGTTCTGATGTAGGATACACACACAGTGTGTGTGTGTGTACATCATTTACGTGATTATGAAGTTCGCTTTAGACATATATTCTAATGATATAGTACTGGCGTTGTCTATATTCCTTATTTGCACAGAATCTTCAAATGGAGGAGAAATACTGTTCAATAAATCACTCTTATATCCTTACATTAAGATATGATATTATTTAGATCGATGATCGTCTTCAAGGAAATTAGGCACTTATGAATTGCACAACATCTAGTTGTGGTTGTAAGATTGATTACACTCAGTGTAGTGCAATAGAAAATTGAAGTTCATTGAACAAGCTAAAATCATAGTGAACGATGGAATCTGACATATTGAGATGAGAGAAATAAATTAGGCATTATTAATTACTCGTGTTTTGGGAACATTAGTAGTAGTACAATTCCTTTAGTGATACATGGGACCACTATTACCCTCTTTAAAACAATGTTTACTTTATAAATCACAATAGAAATGGCTGATGGAATTGGTGAAATCTGCGTGTTTATCGTGTCACCCTTTTGGACTTGTGACATTGTAAACTGACCCACGCAAAAGTTCTACACTGCTTAGATAAATTGATTTTTGTGGAAAAGTTCTTTATATAATTCCTTGGGCCACATCTGCAATGAGAAACAATGATTCTGATTCAATTTCTACTAGTCCTTTTTGTTATCCGGAATGGATTAATTATGCATGATTTTCTCCCCCCATAGCATTATCTAGTCATTTTTGTGCCCTTCTCTTTGTACATATTCTGGAACTCAAATCCATGGATCCCGGTTGAGGTGCTTTCAAAAAAAATTCTCTGTAATTGTTCTGTTATGTACTGTTTGTTGGTTTTCAAATAATAGGAACCTGTACTGTTTATTTAATCTGTGTTATAATCGGTGTCTGTATGGAATTGCAAGATTTCTTATGAATGAATCTCCAACCTAAATTTTTTGCATTGATCAAGTTTACTACTAGCTTTAGATAACTAATAGCTACTTATTAGGTGCATGAAATACGTGACTTCTGTTGGGATGGTATCCCATATCAAGGTGCTTCGTGGTTGAGGGAGGAACCAATTGAAGCAAAATGGGCCCGTGTAATCTTAGTCCCAGCTTCCGGAGGTTTGATAGTTAGTTTATTGAACATGATTCGAGCTGCTATAGAGGGCCCAACAGATGGAATTGTTATATCCTATATCAAATCTGCACTAAAGCCAATTCTGAAGACAGTGGCTGCCTGTGTCACTTTAGGAACAGGGAATTCATTGGGACCAGAGGGCCCAAGTGTCGAAATAGGAGTCTCCATTGCCAAAGGGGTTGGTGCTGTGCTTGATAAAGGTGCTCAAAGAAAGCTCTCACTCAGGGCTGCAGGGTCTGCCGCCGGACTCTCTTCTGGTTTGTTTTATTTTGTCATAATTACATAATATTATATCCACACTTTTCTGTTTCTTGACAGTCTCTGGATTCTCCATGTGTGTTGTCATTTCCTAATTTCCTTGGATCCTGTAACTTTTTGCATTGAGAACTTCTTAAAGGGAAAATTCAAGTTGACTAGGTAACTATGTAAGTCTGCAAGTTTGTATCATGAAATAGTGGAATTATCTTGTCAGGAGATTGGGGTATAGAAAGGATTTACAAAATCGTAGAAAGCACTTTAGCTAACTAGACCATTTAACTATAGATTGTTTCCATGAACTGGATTAGCTATGTAATTTTTTATTCCAAATACCCTTTCCACGTAATCAAATTTGTAGCGCATATGTCTAAATTTCTTACCCTTTTTGCTGACCACATCATCTGAAAGCTTAAGTTGTTAAAGATGTAACATTTTTATTTGTTTAAATTTAGTCTTCAACATGCCTCTTGTGGCTGGATTATGAATTATCGAAAGCTTGACACGTGACCATTTTTTCATCAATGAGTGATGGCACGACGAGAACCTTTTTCTTTTTTGTGTTTGTAACATCATGTCAAACCACCTTATCCAAAAACTTACTTGAAACTAGCTTTTATGGTTGAAGACTTGTACTGTGTGAGAACATGCAAGTAAAATGATTTTCTGATTGATCTGTGATATGCTTTCAATTTAAAGAGCGCCAAGAAATATTAGGGCCACAGAAACAGAAATATTTGGAAATTGGAACTGGATATAAATCATGCTTTGTTTTGAACTTCAAATCTGGTTACTGGTGAACAAGCAAGCAAAATGTTTTTAATTTAACCCAAAAATCATTTATAAATATACTGTAAATTGTTTCTATTGTAAAAGACTTGCACAATTTTTTACTTTGTTAACAGATTGAACATGAAAACCCACTCAAGAAAAACTTTCCTTGCCAATTTTTAGTTTTTGACCCTTCTGTAGTGGAAACTTAATTTTGCACATTCTCTACATACAAATATACAGAGGAAATACATGGGGAATAAGATGCATTTGCATAGTACTTCCACTAAAAATGGAAAGACGCTCAGATGCACTTTATCAATACCTGGTTGGTGCTACCTTAGCCAAAATCTTTACCCTTCCTTAGCATACTCATGATGATTTTTCCAGGGATTGGTGGCTATCCATTTAGTGACTTTGGCACTTCCTATTTAAAAGCAAGAAATATAGGCATGCCTGATTTCCTTTACATTCAAAATAAACTAAACTGCTTGGGCTTGTCACTTTGTATTCATTCTTAGTTCCCTCCACGTTGTTCTAAGATTCAATATCAATTCTTGGTAACATACTAGTGTTCATTCTGCTAAAGGGTTCAATGCTGCTGTTGCGGGTTGCTTTTTTGCCGTGGAATCAGTTTTGTGGCCATCGCCTGCAGAATCATCTCCGTCTTTGACGAATATGACTTCCATGGTCATTCTCAGTGCTGTAATAGCTTCTGTCTTATCAGAAATTGGCTTGGGCGCTGAACCAGCCTTTGCAGTTCCACTATACGATTTTCGTTCTCCAAGTGGTATTGTTTTTATCAACTTCTTTTAGTTATTTATCAGTTCACATTGTAGGGCATTGATGTTCTACAGGAGCACATACAAATTGCTCAAGGCACTGATAATTTAATTGCCATTACATAGCCACTTTTTAAAGGGTTATCTCAAAAATCCATTGGAAGAGCCTAATTCCAAATCTCTAATTATGAGATTTGTTTGATATTTCCATGCCTGGATTTGAAATATATGTCCCAAAATCCACCTACAATGAGTCAAAAGCCTTCATGGCTTACTAGGTTAGGAGGTCATTTTGTTTTCTCTAAAAGTGCCTATATCATAGACATAGTCCGGTGCAGATATGGTTCTTTCTTCATCCTCTTAAACATTATAAACTTTTAAGGAATCTTCGTGTTAGTTCAATGATCATTCTAATCGATTTTGTATGCCTTTGCTCTCTGACATTATGATTCTAATTCTCCAAGTGGTACTCACCAATCATTAGAAAGTCCAGTGTTACTCACTTGTTCCTGGATATCATTCTGGAGTAGACGTGATTATCTATAATCCTCTTTTCTTGTGGTCATGTGAAGTTAATTTGATTTCTAGCAATTTATGTATTATCCGTCTATTATCAATTTCTCATTAGGTGATCACTCTCTTATTTTTGTCATTTATGTATCACTATCCAAGTTGTGAGAGTTAATATATTTATGAGTATAATTGAGGCTTTCCGGAAGCTTTCTTTTCAGAGATAAAAATATTAGGCTTTAATCTTTTTCTTGTCAGTTCAGAACTGCCGCTGTATCTTTTGCTGGGTGTATTTTGTGGCTTGGTTTCGGTCACCTTATCTAAGTGCACGGCATTTATGCTGGTATTCATTAACGATGTTGAAAGGGTTGTTGGGATACCAAAAGCAGCACTTCCTGTACTTGGCGGTTTGGCTGTTGGACTTATTGCCTTGGCATATCCTGAAATTCTTTACTGGGGATTTCAGAATGTTGATGTTCTATTAGAATCTCGCCCATCTATGAAAGTCCTCTCTGCTGATTTGTTGCTTCAGCTGGTGGCTGTCAAAATATTAGCAACTTCCTTGTGTAGGGCATCTGGATTAGTAGGAGGCTACTATGCACCATCTCTGTTTATTGGTGCTGCTACAGGAATGGCATATGGGAAAATTGTTAGTTATATGATATCTCACTCCGATCCAATATTTCATCTCTCCATCTTGGAAGTAGCTTCACCTCAAGCATATGGCCTGGTATGGACCAATCACTGTAAGCAATGACTAAGATGATAACTTTTGCAAAGTTAAGACTCTATTATTTGTTCTTACTCGAAGTTCTACGTCATATTTTTAATGCTACAAGTATTATTGGGTATCTGGACAGTTATTATCTTTTTCTGCTCTGTCTAGATACAATCTGTATTCTTTGTGCTTGCGTAGTAATCTGTACTCTTTTTCAAAATTGTTTTAGTTCTTAACTATCAAGCACTTAACAAAACCTATAGAAGTGGACAACAATAATCACTCACAGATGCCTTTGCCTAGGATGCAGCATAATGGGGCTGAGTGGAGGCAACTGCCCCCACTAGAATATTATGCACCCATCCTTTTAACTAGCTTTTAAGAAAATCAACTAATTTTCGTGAGTAGACTATAGATTTGAGATTCTCATGTAGTAACCAGTATTTGCAAAGTAATTAAAAGTAGTGTCTACTTGTAAGTTATATTTGTTTTATACTTCTAAAGTTCTTATTCAATATTTCTTATTTTTTGCTTGTTGAATTCTTCTGGTTGCTATTTGCTAGAGTGGTTTCTGCTATACTCCTTTTTATTAGTTGTATTGCTAAATTGTATTAAATTTTTAATTTTAGTTGACTCATGCCCCTACTAGATTACATTTTTGGTTCCGTTCTGGTGCTTTAGCATTGTCTATTACCAAACTGCTCAGCGATGGAATCAAAGTCATGAAAATATTGCACGCTAGTGGTCTCTCCTGTGATCGATTCAATAGGTTTTTTATTTTACTGTTCATATTCTGGATTCATATTAGAAATAATCGCTCGCACGAAATCTTTTGATTTTAAAGATTAGATAATATCTGCTAACATAGTCCAGAGAGAGTAAAGGATTCTTGTAGATCGTTGGTAATTGATGAAGGGCAGCTTGTTTTATCTCGTGCTTAACATTTGACAATTGTACTCTTCAGTGCCAGAAAAAATGCGGAAAGGCTTTCAATATGGTTTGGAACTACTGAATTCTACTACTATATTCCCCGTATGGTTAGAAAACGGTTTTAAATTTAGAGTATCCGCAGTGAGAAGCCATTCTCACAGCTCTCGCAGCTTTTCATCTTTTTATATATTTGAAAGTCAAGTACAAAGTAGATTTTCACTCGATTTAAATATATTGTCAAACATCATGCTCATGCTGTCTGTTGCGTCTTATTACTGAAATTGATGTTATTCTTGTTGCACAAGGTCCTGGGAAATATATATATATTTTTTTTCTTCAGAGCTTCATTTCTGCTATCTATTTGTGTTGGATGGATTATATATCTTATCAATTATTACCAAATTCATAAGTTGCCACTAGTAGCAGGTAGTTGTATGCAGAAATAGAAATCAAGTGGTTGACCTGCAGAATAAAAGAAGATTTATGTTCCATAAAGTCTATATGGATGTTAATCTTAATGAAAAGTTCATTTGACATGGGCATGCACACGCTTTCACTTCCAATCAATTATTTTATATTTTATTTAATTTCATCAGAAGACTGTATTTTGGCTATAGTTTATTCTTAGAGGATTTCCTCACAGGTTGGCATGGCTGCTACACTTGCTGGGGTGTGCCAGGTACCCCTTACTGCGGTTTTGCTTCTCTTTGAACTAACACAGGATTATCGAATTGTACTGCCACTTTTAGCAGCTGTGGGGCTTTCATCGTGGATTACATCTGGGAAGACAAAACGGAAGGAAATTGATAATACCAAAGAATCGAAAGAAGGAAACAATATAGCAACTCCGCCTGAAACATGTTCCTATAACTTTGGAGTCCAGACCTCTATTTCTTCTCCTGATCTGAGAGAATCGAATGAAAGTAGCATTTGTGAACTTGAGAGTTCACTCTGTCTGAATGATGATTCTGATGATGATAATGGTAACTTGGCAAATGAAATTCTGGTTTCACAGGCCATGAGAACACGATATGTTGCAGTGATGATGAGCACTTCTCTAACAGAAGCAGTGTCTCTCATGCTAGAAGAGAAGCAGTCTTCTGCGATAATAGTTGATGACAGCAACCACCTCATTGGTCAGCTAACGCTTGGTGACATTCAGCGTTTCACTGAATTTTCAAGAGCAAAGAGTAGGAAACCTCAGGTAGATTCTTCAAGTAATAATATTTTGTTTTTCATTCTTAAACAAAGTGTTACAGAAAAATTTGGGGCAAGATATCATATAATGGACCTAAAATACGTCAAGCATTCAATGTCACGGAGATAAAGAAATAAAGCATGCCATGAAATATTGATCAAGTGAGGGATCCAACACCCTAAGGAACTAGACCATCTGATACATTTTCGCTATGCATGCTATTCCAAAGTATTTTAGCTATTTGGATTTCCTGCAACTCAAATGAATCTTCTAGCAAAGAGGACACAACGACGAAGGAAGAAAGTAAAAAGATTAAACACTGGGAAATTTGGGAAGAACAGAGGAGGAGACTATTTTTGTTATGGCATTAACACGTGAACTGCTAGAAAACAATTTTAATGGGATTTCAGTTACTTGAGCATCATATAAATATTCAGCATCCTAATTGGAAATCCTGAAAATGATAGTTAGCTGTTTAGAATTTTGGATTACAGGAGTTTAGAGTGTCTGAGCTATGCTCCTCTAACAGCGAGAGGTGTCGTATACCAGATACGGTAACCCCAAACATGAGCCTTGGTGCCGCTCAAGCTCTGATGGATAGGCATGGTATTAGTCAACTACCAGTTATCTTGGAGCATAAGGATCATGGAGGCCATCCAATTGGCCTTTTAGACAAAGAATCCATCAATCTTGCTTACAGGTATATTAGCATTTTATTCTCTGCTAAGGTAGTTTTGACCAGTGTTCTAAAATGCGTAATGCGTTGCGATGCGTCGAGGCCGATAATCACGAATCAAAAGTTTAGGCGTGTCAATACGAAAAATAAGTGTCATAATGCGTTTCGTATTTTTAAGGCATTAAATATATTTTTTTTCGACCCGCTTCGCGCCTAGATGCGCACTTAGACGGCGCATTTGCGTGTCTTTTAGAACATGGGTTTTGACAATGTATTTGCTACAAGAATGATTTAAATTTAGACAAGTACCGTCTACTTCTCTTCCTTCCATCCCAGTCAAATTCAATCTTCAAGTTATATATAACTTGTAATGCAATTGACCTAAGGTTGGGCCTACGTTGTTAGGACTCGGGTGTGAGTGTCTGATATCATTATATATCTACAAATTGGATCCATTTCCTTTTTTACAAAATCTGGAATATGGCGATACGGTTAAAAATTATTTTGCAAAGTGTTTTGGTGTACACCAAGCATGATTGAAGCAACATAGGGTTGGCCTAGAATATTGGACTTTAGTGGACTGTTTGAATATTGCCCTTATTGGTGTGCTGTAATATTTTCAGACAGAATTAGTTAATTAACATTTTCTCTACAGAATTTTAGCCCATGTTTGATCCCCCACTATTTAAAAACTCATTTTTCTCCAATTCATTTTCAATCACATTCTCTAAATAAAATAATTTTACACATAAACTAGAAACTTTTCCCTAATTTTTAACCACACATTCTCCAAAAATTCACTATTACAAAATCCATTCTTCCAAAAAATGGGCCTCAAACAAACCAAACATCTACAGCATCACAAGATGCCGATTTTAAGACATGTTTAGATCATTTTATAAACTCACTATGATACCATTACCGAATGCAGTATATTTTGGTTTCCAAATAGGACAAAGGCCCTGAACTAGACATCCAAGGAATTTTATAGCATTTTCAAACATATATAAACTGCTTGCTCACTCGTAATTTGCATTACTTTCTGTATACAGAGCTTTTGCAATCAAGGAGTGCCTAGGCTGTTTTTTACACCGGACAAGCTGAAGAAATAACAAGAAGGAAGACAAGAATCATCTGATTGCTGTAACTACATTCTCAAATGGATGAAATATTCACGAGCCTAGTTGAAGCAGAAGGCTGACATAGAAGCGACACTGAAATTGAGTAATTCCACTGCTGATTTTGGTGTACTCAGCATTTTTGCTTTTAGTAGCTGAATATCTGGGAATGACACAAATGAAACTTGACACACATCTTTCATGGTAAATACCAGAAGCAGCAAATAAAGGGAATGAAAAGGAACAAAATTCTGCCAAGGAACTATTTGGCTGTGTAGACAACATAACTCCCCCCATAAGTGTAAAACAAAGTTGAACTGAGGCTGCCCAACAAGCAGAAGCAAATATATTCTTTGTTCTTAAATATTTATAGTTTGTTGTAAATACTGCGAAAAATACACCAAACTTTGATCACAAAACTTAGAAAATTCCACTTATCATTCGAAAGTTTCTAAGAAGAAGTAAGGGATATATCCTTCAATACAAGCCAAAAAGAGCGAACCATAATTTATGAAGTCAAGCGAAAAATCAAATATTGATACAATGTAACCTGGTTCATAGCTTAAACCAAAATTTAAACAACAAAGGCGAGAGATTTGATCAATGCAGGAAATCTTGCAATAACCTGGTCGACTCTAAGACCTTTTATCCTGCCATCATCTGCAAGTAGCAATTGACAATTTCTCTTAATAGATCATTTTCGAAAAATGGAAATGAATGTGGCAACAGAAACATTTCGTGATGTAGCATGAGCAAATAAGCAATGCACACCCACAATATTTTCTGTTCACATAGCTGTCTTCACTACTGGGATCGGAAAGCCACATTAGAAGCTTAACTGAAATTACCTTGAAAATGTCACCAAACATTCCTTGCATGGGATTTCTACGCTGGACTCCATAAAATTTTTCCGCAATTTCATCTAGGAACTAAACCACGAGGGCGGGCAATAACAGAAATATTTAGTTAGCAATCAAGAAAAGCACTTATCTGTAAAAGATAGAGTTATCCTCGAGCAAAAGAGAAAAGGACAAGATTCAACTGTACAGTACAAAAACAAAAATTAGGAATATCCTGTGTAGGAGAGAGTGCATACCTCATTAAATACAGGTTCTCTGTCTATACTGGACTTGTATCTCTGTCTCAACATGTTAAAAAGAGGCAAAGCATCTCTCTGCAACCTGTATAAAATACGGAATTAATTTTAAAATGATTCAGTTTTTTCTTCTTGCTAATTATATTCTCGAATAGATCTGGTACAATTTTCGAATAGTAGACAACATCTTGTTTATTCACAAGATTTTAGCTCATAGGCTTATTTATTTCATGAAACAATTGCTCACAATATCTAAAGCAGTATGCAATATTGGCAAAACGTTATGCAGAAACTCCATCCTCTTGAGCAAAAATGTCATAATATTCATAGTTGATTGCATTTTTAACAGCTTCACTGGTTTATGATTAATGGAGAATAGTTGCCATTTCATTCTCCCACAATACTTGTAGCAGGAAGTACTTGGAAGCTTATATGGGACATGGGTGGTGGTCTTGGTATGTTATAAAATGAGAGTGTAGACCCCACTAGAGTAGTTGCTAGGTGAGGAAAGGTGTCAACCCTCATGTTCCGTTCCACAGACTATAAGATCCTGAATGGACAGTGTGATGGCTCGAGTGTCCTGTCATTGCATTTTCACTAAATTTGTTCATTCCTATTGTAAGGGTCACTAGTTTCATTCAGTTTTTCACTTTTCTCCTATGATTTTGAAGGAGTGAGAGAAGCGTGTTGGTTTGCAACTGATCTGGTTCAGAATTTATGCTTTCAAGTTATTTTGGTGATATGATCTGAGAAACTTGAAAAGTAATGTATCTGAAAAGAAGAATAATCCATGACAACTAGGCCTGGCATAGTCCCTCATGCAAAAGGAGGTTGTGTGATTGAATAATGCTCAGAGGGTCATCCATAAGTTAAAGACTGCAGGTGCACCATGGTCTCTACCCCTCCCACAAAGAAAGGTGGTTGACAGGCTCAAGAACCAACCTTCAAGTTCCCGCAAATATGTAAAGCTTCCATCTTTTTTCGTGACTCAAACTTCATTCCAGTTGAAGGAAAGATTTATCTAGCCTGGAAGTCATTTGACAATTAAATAACTAAGAGTCTCAACTATTGGAAAATCAAGATAGTGATGATATTAACCAACGAGGTAAAAGAAAAGCTAAGATCCAGTAGCAAAGCTATCTCTGAAAGCCATCACCCATTTATGACCAAAACAAGGGCTCAACACAACTGCAGAAATCCTATGATCCTCCCTTTCAGGAAAGAGGTAAAAGCAGAAACTGAGAAAATTGAAGCTCAGCATAGATGATGAACAAATGCATAGGGCAGGAGGATGAAAGTATAGCATTGTATCATCCTTTCCACACTTTGTTGATTACCCGAGGAACTAAAATTTTAGATATGGAAAGATTATTCTCCATGATATTTTCCCAATTATGTGGTTATCACACAATCTTTTCTTTTAGAGTTACTTGTAGCCCCATCTATTTTGTAATAGACACACAATTTAATTATATACAATTTATAATATTCTAATTCTTGTAAATAATATAATTATTAGTGAATGATAATTATACCTCTGCAGCCCTAATTTTTATTATCAATGTATCTCTAATTCTTCCCTATAAATATGGGGTTTAGTTCTTAATAAAACATACAAGTTTATTGATTTCTCATTATTCTATTCTCTTCCCTTTCTAGTTTATAACACATTATCAGCACGAAAGCTCAATTCTTTAAAGTTTAGTGAAGGTAGTAATGTTTTTAAGCATAATCATCTATCACGTGTACCAAAATTAATTTGGTGACAGGTGAATTTTATATATATAACACGAATTCTGCTGATCCTTTAATCAATTTTATACACGCAGTTTTTTTATCAATTTGCATGTGAATTCTTCTTACACAAATATTTATGATAATTGCGTGTATTGGTCATTGCAATTAATGTCTTTCAATGAATGTATATCATAGTTATTCATACAACCTTATTCATAATTCACACATCCGTATGGGTTTCTGTAATTAATGTTTCTTCAATATGTCAGTAATTACTTATGCATCTATATTCAATTGACGTGCATGTTTGAAATTTTCTCTTAATTCTGCCTTTAATTATGTATCGTGCATGTTTGTAATTTTTTCCTAATTCTGCTTTCATTTTGTATATGAAGATTTTTTTCATAATGCATATTTGATAATCAATTTTTTATATTAATTTTATATCATGTCTGTATAGTAATTAATATTTTTCAATTTGATTAAATATTTTTAGATGTTCTTCTATAAATTTTAAATTGATAATTTATCATGTTATTGTTGCTGAAGTAGCAAAATATTATAATTAATATTCCAGAAGAAAATTAATCGCAGATCTATCTATGACAAATAGTTTGTTGTTACTCCTGAAGTAGCACAACATTATAATTAATATTTCTACTGAAAAGTATGAATTATAATTTTCAATATTCCAGAAAAATATTAGCATATGGCTTTTGAAGAAGCGATAATAAAATATAATGTGTTTTAAGAGTAACACGTCTCGAAAAATTGTCTCATTGTGTTCATGAAGAAACACAAATTAAACAATTCAATACTAATTCTAATTTTAAGGGAAAGCAATTTTTTTTTTTATTAATATTCAAGACGAATACAAATTAAACAATTCAATACTAATTCTAATTTTAAGGGAAAGCAATTTTTTTTTATTAATATTCAGAACGAATATTAATTTATCGCTCCAAAAGCGCATACAATTCGGTATTTTAATATTCTCAAAGAATATCATATTAGTGCTTCTTGAAACGCATAAATCTTGAAATTCTAATAAAATTTAAAATGGATTGTCAAGATACCTGCTTGATTGACGGTGGAACCACGCATACTATTCTTCAAGACAAAATATATTTTGGACTTAACATTAACAGAAAATAATATTAATACGATATCAGGTGTATCAAATATCTTTGAAAGCTTCGGAAGAGCTTGTAATATTTACCAAATAATAAAAAATTATATATTGACGATGCATTTTATTCTAGCAAATCCAGAAGAAATTTGCTTAGCTTTAAAGATATCTGCTGCAATGGATATCAAATTGAGACGTTGTAAGAAAATAACATTAAATATATTTGCATAACTTCTTTTGTATCTGACTGAAAGCAGATAAAGAAAAATTTCATGCACTCCCATCTGACATGTATTATACATTTATAAAAACTGTTAAATAATATTGTCACGAACCAGTAGTTCATTGACCCAAAAAGTTTTATACTTTGGCATGATCGATTTGGATATATAGGAGCTATAATGATGCGTCGAATAATAAACAATTCACATGGACATCGTTAAAAGAACTAAAAAATTCTTTTACCTAAATGATTATCCATGTGTAACTTGTTCGTACGGCAAGTTAGTCATTGACCTTCGACTACAAAGGTCAATATTGAATTTCCAACTTTCTTGGAAAGACCATTTCGTTATTTTATAGTATTAATATATTCTTCTACTATATGATCTTATGTTTGTCTACTTTCCACTAGCAAATGTAGCTTTTGCTAGACTGCTTGCTCAAATCATAAAATGACAAGCATAATTTCCCGATTACTCAATCAAGACAATTCAATTCGACTTAATAATGCTGGTAAATTTAGATCACAAGCATTCGATGATTATTGTATGTCAATTAGGATTGTTACTGAACATTCAGTTGCACACGTCCATACACAAAATGATTTAGCGAAGTCGTTTATTAAACGTCCACAACTTATTGCTAGACCATTACTTATGAAAACAAAACTCATAGCTTCTGTTTGTGGTCATATCATATTACATATTGCATCATTGGTTCGTATAAGACCAACTACTTATTACCAATATTCACCTTTGCAACTTACATTTGGTCTTGACCTAATATTTCTCACTTACGAGTT